ACATGTAGCTTTTATAGGCAAGATAATCGTAGCAGATTTTCACATTGCCTGAATTAAAATGGTATTGCTAAAAGACTTTCTAAAATGTAGAAGATACTACTTGCACTGAAGAAAAAGGAAAGTGATAGGTAAGTCACGTAAGATTGATATTCAGCTGTTTAATAAAACCATTCTAAGATACATTTCATATATGAAGATATGTTTCATATATGAACCTTCTACTCCTTCAGTGTAAAATGAGGCTAAGAGTTCAAAGCATATTAATACCACATCACAGTTACAATTTTACCGTGATTTGTTGTGGAATCTGGTTACATGGTATCCAATAATGCAAGCATCCTGCAAGTTACCACACAATTTTCACTTCCCTGTCTATTTCCCCACCCTGATACCGAAAAATAAATAACTTATTTACATACAATTATTGTCAAATTAATTCTGCAATACACTTTATAACATAATGTGGGAGTTTTTTTAATGTTTCTTGAATTGTTACTTTTTTAAAATCGGGCAACTAGAAAGGAAGAGGTTGGGGTACAGAAATATATACAGGTACTTAGTGGGACACGTAAAAGGACACTTAAAATGATTTTTTACTTCATATAATCCTTTTAGCCATTACTTGTCTTGCCAAAATTATAGACTGTGAAGTTAATTTAATAAAGCCTTTTGCCCTGCCAGGAAGACTTCCTCCCTGATCTTGTTTAAAAGTAATGACCGATACGTGACAGTACTTTTATCACCTGTGGCAAGGGACAAACTGAACAAACAACAAAGAAAGACGACTCTGGCTTTTCTACATGATCAAGCAGGATAAAAAGTGTGACTGGGAGGAAAAAATAACAAACCAAAAGCACTTCTGCAAAACTTCAGAAGAGAACATGTAACAAGAAATAGAGCATTAGAGCTGCAGTGGTAGTATGTGACATGACACAGCATTCCCACAGAGACACAACAGACCACAGAAAGACCATTCTTCGATGATTTTTCTATATGTAGCCAGTTTCTAGAATCATCTCAAATGCTGAAGATGGGGCTACACACATGCAGTTTTCTCATTTTGTAAGCTGTTCTATTCCCCCACTGGTAAAACAAGTACATATAGGCAAATGAAAGAGATATATAATGAAGTTTGCAGAATGAATAAGAAAATCAAGAGCTTGGTGGAATTTGTTATTCCTGATCCTACAATGAAAGTAGACTGTTCAGATCCATAGCAAAACACTAACAGGTCAGGAAAGGTTCTTGAACTACTCTAGTTCTAGTAATCCCATGTGTACCAAGTGGCAGTAACAGCAAGATTGAGTAGCAGGTTAAGACTGAAAGTAAGCGCGACTTGACTGTGAACCTTTTGTGCCCGTGTTGCCAACAAAATTTCTTACATAGTACAGTGGATGTTCATGAACTGGAAGGTATATTTAATAGAATGTTGCTGTATTTACCTGTTTTCCTCATGGATGTCTATTATCTGACAATCATGTGCATCTTTGTCCTGTTTTTATCATCAGCTGTTCCACACTAGCTCTTTGATAACTTCAAAGCATCAATAAATGCCAGGTAAAACTGCTGGAAACTAAGGTATGAGTCAAGTTTACACATAGCATAGCAAAACAAGAGGAACAGTTTTATGTTACAATGCAACTACAGTGAATTTACACAGGAATGGAAGTAGTGAAGGTGGTGGAGCAAGCCTTGAAGTGAACTTCTTGCCCACTTAATCATGCGGTGGCAATTAACCAGGTTAAGCATATCGGTCTGGTTGTAGTATGGGCAGATTCAGTCCAACTGTTCCTCTAGTTTCTGTGCAGTTTTTTTTATTTACTGGTCTACGGGATACAACATAAAACCGATGTGATATGTGGAGATAGACCAAGTGATAGCCAACAGAGTACAGGATATTTTTGTACCTTTTTTCCCCGGGATTTCATCCTTCTAGAACACACGCAATGTAAAAACAGAAAATGAAGATGAGATCAGGAGGAATCAATTACCCTCCCTCCCACAATCATGCATTAAAAAAAATTCAGAATGTCCTCTAGAGGGCAATCTTTGCACGTATTTCATCTAGAAATACATCTTACAGCTTATTTTAAAGGGTCTAGAGCTTCACGAAGGATCATTATTAAAAAAAGGTACTAAAATTGCTACTAGAAAGCTAAAAATTTTATATCCACCACTGTCCATTATCACAATTATTTTGAGATTAGTGCTAGAAAAAATATCCACTGTTTCACTGGAGACTCCTCTGGACTTGTACAGTGGATGTTTTTATGGAATTATAACTTCAACTGAGAAACTACATCTCAAACTAATCCACCTTCAAAATAAAAGAACTCATTGCACCACTGACCACATCTTTAAAGCAAAACTATTTCTAACCCCCAAAAATTCACACATCAGTAGATCAACTACTGACATACATCAAATTGTCAACTATATTAAAACTTGTCAGCGCTCCTTGCTGGAAGCAAATATTTATCAGATTAAAGAGTTACTTAACTTTCTAAAGCTATTCAAAGTCTATTCTTAGCTTCCAGAAGTACCCACTGATTTAGAAATAGATTATTATATCCTGTGGTTTCTTCCTAGTTTCTTTATTTATTAACCATCATAGACTCCAATCAGACTAATGGGTATGGTATCAGCAGTCACAACGTTGGAACAGTTAATCTAACAGGATTTGGTGTCAGTTAATTAAAAAGTTTTCTCTTCATTAGATTTGTAACAGGAAACCTTCTGTAATCAGAAACATTGAGCAATATACATTGAGCAGAATATGTTGTGTTCAAATCCAGGGAATAGCAGAACCATTATAAAAAGGGAGGCAAGGGCAGGACTTTATGATGAAAATGAGAAAGACGAGTGCAAGAACAGTGACTATGCATAGGACTGTAAAACTGACCCAAGATCAACTCCTTGAACATTTGAAGAATTAAAAAAAAAAAAAATAAAATTGTATTTGGTAAGTAGATGATAACGTTAAACATTCCTAAAGATCTGTTTAGGCTCTTAGACAAAAACTGGTATCTTTGCGTGAACACCCAGTAATAAGTCCTCTGTCTACTTAAAAAGTATCAAGGGTGGATTTAGGAAATCCCAAATTTGAAACTTAAGAGCCACTTTAACAAATCTCTCAGAAAAACACATTTGTCATAAATCTTAACATGAACACATAACCCTCCCACACCTCACATCACATAACAGCTCAGAACTCTGAAATCAAAAGTAACTCATTTATTGACAAATTGTAGTATTTAGAAGCCAGACATACTGACAGCTTCTGCTCTTAAGTCACATTATCTACTTATTCCGAAATATTTGATGTAGCCATCTTCAGCAGTTGTAAAGGAAATATGCTATTGTTTTCCTTTGTGGCCACGGCCTGATACAAATGTCAATTATTTAATTGCTGAAAAACATTAAAATATGTCAAGTCTGTATAGCATACATATGCGGTAGGTTGCAGTTATGTTTCTGTGCACACTGCAGAAGTGCAATGAGACTGACAGTAAAAGGAATCATTTTTCCAGTGTGTGCCCTGCATGGAGTTATAGTTACCATAACACAATTGTTTCTTGAACAGTAGTTTATGCTGCTAAAATCACTTGTAATTCTTAATACAAAATAGATGCATAAGTAGCTATAATAAAAATCCATGTCCTAAAAAAAAAGTGGGAAAGACTTTTTAAAAAAATGGATGAGAAGAGTTATTCATATGTTTGAGCAAATAATTTTTTTTTTTAATACCTGGGTTCCTTTCCTTCACTATATAAAATTTTTACATAGACATAAATGCTGTTCTTGCAGTTTTAAAAGGGCAGCATAATGGCTATCAGACACTACAAGTTTGTCTTTAACCTTTCCAAAACACTGCAGAAGACACACAGATTCTCAGATTTTTGCCTTTGGTGCACAGGAATCTGAATGACACTGGAATAACTATTTAACCATCGTAGGAGGACACTTGAGGCTTATTAGAAAGCTGCGTTAGGCAACCAATACTAAAATTTTAGGATCTTTGTTCCATTAGGAATCTTTATATAATAGGTTTAAAAGTAATTTTATTTCATTTAAAAGGTTTTATGATGTGATAAAAAGTTTCGTATTGCCTTGCACAGGTATCCAAGGCTTTCATGACATCTTTATTTGAGGCTGGCACTTCTGAATTAAACTGGAAAGGCTAATTTCAAAAGGCAAAAACCTACTCTTGACAAAGCTGCTACTACCACCATAAGGCAACATTTCAGAACCAATTGTTTATATGAAATTCCATTATATCATTTCCTAACCTGGGGGAGCAGTAGGTATTTTTATATGTTTTTAAGATCTGATAGGTTTGTACAAAACCATTACTTACTCCACTCAATACTTCCTCAGCTTTACTGCTTTGACATAGAAATCATCTTCACAACAATTCTACTTTTACAAATGGAGGATTTTGTCTTTAAGGGAGAAACAAATCACCTGATTCGAGGTATAAACAGCTAGAAAAAAAATCCTGGTGTTAGACAAGAATAGAGTAGTAAAAACTGGGGTATGATAGAAGAAATCCTATTTCTATGAAGTCAGAGGGAAGCCTGGCCGTAAACAGGAATCAGTATTTCATCACACTAAAATACGGAAAACATATGGCCACATGAAAAACACCTCTCATTCCTGTTTTGTTTTTTTTTTCGTTGTGGCACCAGTCACTAAAGGAGCTGTTATAATGCCTCTATAATACGACGGTGACACATATCATTTTACTATGTGTTTTGCTCAAAATGGAAAAAACGCTCTAAATTCATAGCATCTTGTTTCATTGTAGTTGCATTCTGGTTGAAATGTTCACTAAATATCACTCGCTACCATTGCCTTCAGAATAGCCACAAGTAGAACCACATCTCTTAACTTTACAAGAGAGAATAACACAATTTTGTGAGAGCACTGAGAAAGAAACACTTCCAATTTCAGTGGTGAAGGCAGAGGAGGTGGTCACGTTCACCCCTAACTGCCTGTCCTCAACGGTTCTCAACCGCAACTGATCTCTTAGGAATAAAGCGGTAATACAAATATTCATCCCGAAATTCAAATTCATTCGTAATATGCTGGATGACGCCTCCTTTCATCAGTCTGTCTCCGTACATCACAGCTTCACCACGGTCGGAGGCAAGGCCGACTTGCATGAGCCAGTTGACCAGGTCACAGCCAAAGAAGATGCCAGTGGAGATCTTTGCACCACACCTGTATGTCAAAGGAATGATTCACCCACATGTTCTGTAAATCTGGTATCATCACTGCACGATGGGGAAAGGCAAGGAAAAATAGCAGGAAACAAGGAAAGACATCATGACAGTTAAGAGCATGTTAGAAGAGAATTTGCAAGTTTTGTATATTAGGGGCATGCCAATGTTCACTACCTTTTCCTACAGACATTCAATGAGAAGCAAAATTTACACACAAAGTTATTTTAGGCTTGTGCAAATAAACTTCAGTAAGCGTAAGCAGCAACTTTCCTAAAAACACACACAATGTAATTCTATTTCTTGGATACTTACTTCCCATGTATTCATTAGCATGACCATTTCTGCATCAAAATACCTGATTTGAGTGCAGCATGCCCGCAGCGACAGGACTCAATCTGCACTTTAATTCCATTCTGTAATTTCTCTACAGCTTTAAACAGACACTAACTGCTTACATATATTGTAAACCAAAACCATTTAACTTGCATATCCAGTTAAATATTTACCACACAAGCAGTACTAAGAATAAACAAAGCCTTTACAAGACTAAACTAATTTTCTTTTATATATTTATGAGGAAATGCCACTAGCATCTACCTAGTTGCAGTAAAAATACCATTGAGAAATTTACCTGCAGCAATTAATGTTTCTGGTTATCTAAAATCTGCTCTATGGAACCCAAGCGCAGGGTTTCTGAAGATGATTAACAGCTACACAAGACAGCAAAAAAACCCAACTTCTTTCTCTATTTTTTTTTAAGTTAAAAGCAGCAATAACACAGAGCAAGTATTAACACTTATTAGCAGAGAAGCAAAAATCAAAATAAATTAAAATCCTTGATTACAAGGTCTCAGTTACAGTATGTTTAAATCAAAGAGGACAGGACCAAGTTAGATGAATATTTAAAAGGAGAAGATGAATGCTTTCTTTTAACTCACAAGGAGAAATAAGACATGAAACTAGCTCTGCACAAACATAATATTAAAACAATGAAGCAGCAAACATCAGATTTTGATGTATTCTCAGGTGGATAAATGATTAACAAAACCCAACCAAACCAACAGCCCAAAGCCCAAGAAATGACAATAGCAGTAGAGGCACAGGAAAGACAGCTATAAAACCTGTCCTGTTTCAAAACAAACATTTTCTGATACATCTTTTCTGTCTGGTATGAAAGAAGTCAGTCCTTGAACTAACATAGCTAATTTTTCCTAAATGAGTAACTTTATTATTTTATTTCTAATGGAACATTACTGAGTTCTGAGGAAACTGAACAAAATCATGATGCTGTCAAAAACAGTTCTGTAATGTAGTTTCAGACTACCTGACCATTAAAAGACCACCTCATCCCACAAAACTATTCCTGCTTAAAAGCTCACATGACAAGAAAAGTAGAAGTGTCCTGTTAGAACAACTCTTCATGTCTCCATTTCATACAGTAAATATTTAAATAAAGGCAGAATCTTTCTCTTGTTCCTGCTGCTTCTGTATGCATTTCTCTTCTCATCCACCTAGACATACCCGAATACATAACCCTAGATGTGGGCATCATAATTTGCCTCTGAAAGCTTTGCTGATCTCATAAATTGAGGTTTAGGCCTCACGAGAGGAATGAGCAAAAGAAACTGTATGAACTCAAAAGGTGTAAAGGTCCTAAAACCACTGTAATCTCACATATTGAATGGCCTCTGAGTGCACACTGCCATCAGTTCCAACAGTTTCACCTCCTGTAAAAGCTATTTGTCAGTAAACGTTCAGTCACATAAATACTGACACCTTAATCTCAAAACAAAACAAATGAAGGGTCTCAAGTTTGACAAAAGCCACAGACACACATGCTCTGACAGGCATTATCATATACATTTCTTCAGAAAGATTTTCTCTCCTGAACTTCAGGTAAATGCAGAAAACTGGGGCAATGCCTTAATGATATAAAACTTTTTACAATTTATATAAAACCTAGATGGAATAATGTGATAACTTGCACCTCAATGTTTCAGTGTGAGACCAGAAACATTTCTCTGTTACTGCTAAATTCTTAATTGTCGTCTTGAGGTTTGAATAAATACGCCACAACAGGACTCGTCCACAGACAGATTAAAATGCATTTCATTATTTCCAAAAGGTGAGCTGTGACCTTTGTAACAGGTTATATGTGCAGCGAGGAACCTTACCTTCTGCCTCTGACAATGCTTTTGACGCAGTGATCTCTGTGATAACGAACAAACTGCTGACAAGTCATCCTGATTTCCTCGGGTACAGAGGGATCTGTATGCCCGGCTGCGTCTCTTCCTCCCCAGAAAAATTCAAGTCTTAAAAGAAAAGGAGAGGGGAAAAAAAAAAAGAAAGAAAACCAAACAACAACAAAAAAGAAAACCAGCAAATTAACCAGAGGTATTTTTAAGGAACACAAAGGGAACTCATAGACAGCTTATCACAACTGTTTTACTGGTTTTGTGCCCAATACTTTATATACAATCTTCCTAATATACGGCCTTTGAACACTGAGAGGTTTTATTCTAGGCTCATGCAGAAGGAAAGACAGAGTAGTTGGGAGTCAGCTTTAGCTGCTGGATTCACACCGCAGCCAAGCTAGCTCTAAGTTAAAGATGGCTTTGTACCACTTACACCTCCCTAGTGAAAGCATCCATCCACACAAAGTACTTGCATGAGGTTATGAACAGGACTTCGACACAGTGGTGACAGAATCTGGTTCAGCATTCACATCTCAGTTTTAATTTATCAGCTGAAATCTGAAGATCCATCATCTCACTGATCCAATCACATACTTCACCATCATTTGCCAAAGATTTTGTCTATAGGGAGCCTGTGGGATTTCTGTCTTCGGGAGTGTCATTAGGACACTAATGAGTAAAAACTCATGCACAGTGAACTGCAATTAGCTCTCCACAACTAGGAGAGAAAAGAATTTTGGAAGATTGAACAAATAGGAAATGGAACACAACGGCACTGAACATTCAATACTCTTTAAGAATGATTATTGTTAATAGTTAAGTTTATACCTATAAGTGTAAAGATTCTACTTACCTTCGCTTGAATGGTAGAATGATTAAATGCTTATCTAAGCCAAAAATACTAAAGCAAATGAAGCCCTGGAGGAAAAAACCACAGAAAAAGCACCATTAAGCAAAACCTTTGGTCTAAAGAACGAAAATAAAATGTTAAAAACTCATTGCCAAAACACACATGAAAAGTATCCCTCTTCTCTAGATACCATTCAAAATGCATTTTCTTTCTGTTTTTTCATTTGGGCCTTAGAAAGACAGATTAGTACATAACAGCCCATCAAAGAAACTCTTCAAGAAACAATTTGATAAACCTAATGCTGTGACATGATCCCTGACACTCAAGGATAACTGGTTATCCTTACATAGCCAGTTATTTAAATCTGTCTGTTAACGTCAAAAAAAGAACTGACTAACTGCAATTGGAATGCTAGAACGCTCTCTAGTTAATTCGTTTTTCTGTGCTGCTTTTGTATCAGAACTTCTGTCACTACTCGATACTGCAGTGCATCTTGTAGGGACACCAGCCCATGGATCTGTGAAACATTCCTCTAGCACGTGTACTAACGCTGCCTTGCTTTTGCCTTCACAGATAACCCAGCCACCTTGTGTCGGTGTGCACTGAAACAGCCTTTGTGCAGCTGGAACAATTACACATCCGACTGTCAGCTACTAGTTAATGGTGCTGTTACTGAAACTGAAGAGATAATAACTTCAAGCCTTACAGTGAAAGTATCCAGGTAGCCATCTTGCGCCTATTTACTTAACAGTGGAGTAACTCCACAGAACTGACACCAGTGAAGCTTTCTGGTACAAATAAAGCCAAAAATCCTACTCGATTTCCATAGGCATTTGGCATTCAGCTGTCATTTGTACCTTTGAAAGTGTTCATGCACATAAAAGAGACACACTACGATAAGAAAGCTATCAAAGCAAAAGAAAAATATTGAGGAAAAAAAGGCAAAACAACAAAAGGAGCTGGTGACTTCAGCATTGTTTGAGGACTTCAACTTACAGTGCTTGTAACAGCATCTGCTGCAACAGCCACTAACAAAGTAATTTTCAGAACAAACATGGAGAGGTACCTGACCAAAATTAAACACAGCACAGAAGAACTGCAATTCCACATACAGCCTTCCAGGCTCTTGGTTGAACAGCCACCACAAACAACTGGAAAGATTCTGTTAAGAAAAAAAAAACAACAACAAAACCCACAAACCTAACCTGACTGTTCAAAATCAAAAGCACTTTCTCATTCTTCACATGCTGATAGATTCTGGCACAATTTTCACTGCCTTTATTTAATATATTATTCAGATAAAGACAAGTAAGAAGGAATGAACATCTTAAACCACCATTTTAGTTACGTTCAATAGCTGGGGGAGGTGGGCAAGAACTTGTTTGTTTTCAAACAAAATAATGCAAAACACACCAGTGAAGAGGTCCTGCCTCTTTCCATGTTTACCTAAGGAACTTGTCTCAAGTATACTTCGGTATTCAACCTAACACAGACAATATTAGCCCAGACAGATTTGCAGTATTTGTCTTTAGGCCTGATTAGCTGAGACCAGTGCTTTCTACGTATTTTCTGCATAGTTAAGATTGTGTTAAGCTGAAGCACATACCACTTCAGCTATTTTAGATGCCTGACAGAAGGAAAAAATCTCCAAAGTTAACCCCTTTGGGTGTAAAGGCTAATTCTTTACGGTAACAGGTCTCACTTTGTGTACCAGTATCTGTGTAATCGTTCAGATACAGCTAAAAGAGGCTAACATTTGGGACACCTCTTAAATATAGAAGATGTAAAAAATATATATTAGCATGGAATATTTGATACAAGAAATTTGAGAGAGGGAAAACTTCCATTCTGTAATTTAACAGAACCTGAAAAGCAACAGTAGTAGCTATTACACTACATAGTTGCGCCACATTGTCTTGCTCTGCAGTATTACATATTTGTGCCATATTTTCCATTTCAAATAAAAATACTTCCCCCCTACTTGTCATCCACAAGAAGCTCAACTGTAAGCATTACATTCAGAAAGAGATGTTTCTTATCTTTGCCATAGCTAAAAATTCAAATTATATCCCTAATGCATTACAGTCTCGTATTTTGCACTTTGCCCCAGGAGCAGCCACCTTCACAGCTGGGATCTAGTCAGTGATGCTGCTTGGCAATACCAACTTCACCATGTTGCCTCCAAACCACCACTAAAAGCAACAAAATGGCATTTTCCCATTTCAAATGAAGTCTTACATTATTCTTCATTACTAAAGCAGCTCATAGAACTCCAAGTTCCAAATACGAGCACAATCAGATAGAACTCTTTTTGTACAATCCCCTTCAGAAGCAGAATTCACTTTATATTTTTAACCGGTTATCATCTAGGGAAGAAGACTAGCTCTTGAGAAAAATGGGAAGAGGTGTGGTAGTGATGAATTAATTACCAAACGATACAATTCCTTTTTTTTTTTTTTAGGGTTCTCCAGTGTGGCTTGCTCACTAACATCATCAGCCTTAACTTGCCTTTAATTTATGATGTGGCACAGAAAAATAAATTTTATGATATCTCTCTTCCAGTAAGGGATCAAAATAAAGCCTCTGATTTATTTAATGAATTTAATGAGTAATTGGAAGATTTTTACTGGACTGTCTACCTAGCTTTCCTAAAAATCATTCCACCTCAATGAGTTAAACAACATCAGGATTAAAAATATTTACAGCAAACAGGCCAACAATGAGAAGTAAGCACAGCAGCACATGTCTGGCCAGCTGTTTGTCTCTGGTCTGTAGCAGCTGTTCTTCCTGAGCCAGTACACAGGTTTGAGCACTGCAATGACTCACACATTGATCAGCTGAAAAACAAATCAGAATTTTTCATTAGGCTTCTAACTTATGAACTCCATGAGCAAACTTGTTAATGTAACTTGCTGAGTTAAATTACCTTGTAAGTATCTGTACTGAAGTCACACACACAAAATTTAACATTAGCTTTGACAATAACCTGTTCAGATATCTATTCTTAAATGAAGAGTACTTTACACGTGCTCCTAAAATGAAGAAACTTTTTGCAACAGAACTCTTCTTTCAAAGGTTTAATGCAAACTTAAGTCGTGGTTAACATTCATAAAACACTACTAGAAATAATGAAAAAAGACATTTCTCAGAACAGTTTTTAAACTTAGAATTAATTTCTGAAATAAATATTTCAAACATACCATTAGCTCTAATGTTTGTATCTCAGCGTTGATGAGCTCTAGATCAGACAATCAACCATATTTATTTCAGTTTTGTGACTATATTTTTAACATTCTATATCACAACACTGTCACAACTCTATCAAAAGAGACAAACACACAGAGAATGAATGCTCATCTTCCAGCTACAAAGTTCTAAGGAATTCTGAGTATCTTCCTCTAGATGGCAGTGAAAAACTTCCTGGCAAGGACGTACGTAAGAATTTGCACCACATACCTGACATAGCCGTTCAACCGGATAGCAGAAGTATTAGTAATTATTGCAGCCAAAGTTACACAAGTGTATCCATTACAAACTGCTTTTACTTATTTATGGTTTTGAAGTGTTCACTCAGTAGGTCGAAAAAATTTCCACTCAATCATGAAATATTTTCTACCTTAATGTTTAGGATAAGAAGATTAAACTAGCCTTCCTCTATCATCGGAAGACATTCTTATGATGCTTGTCTAAATTACTTGATATAGTTGGCAATAGGTGGAAAGCTAGCATTTTGTGAGAGGAGATGTAACTAAGTATGTTTCGGTTTGAAAAGCTTAAATTTGTTGAAAGTTATGTTGCATCCAAACAAAGCAGAAGGATATGAACTTCCTTGTTAAGGATGCAAAAAAACATGAAAAAGAAAATAAGAGAAAGGTTGCACTGCAGATAGCTTTGATTATTCAAAATGATGTATGATGAGACAGGCTGAGCATGCAGTTCTGTATCAGGTGCTGAACAGTCACTTTGATCCATTTTTTCTATTTCAGTGACTTTTAAAGCCCCCTTAGTCAATTTTCTCCATCTCTCTCCCCTAGACATGTATAGTACAGCAGCATGGACATTTGATCTAATCCGCAGTAAGTGCTTGCTCCTCTAGATCTCATTCAGGTTTCTCATTCAAAACCTGTGCACAATTACAACAAAGGCTTCAAAGGTCTTTTCACAAGACACAAGATGTGAATAAGAGAATGTAAAAGAGTATGTTTAAGTCGAAAACTTGAGGTAGAGCAGGGTTATACATTCAACTTCCCAACATCTAAATGAGGCAATGATAGACAGGTGAAGTCTAAATGCTCAGGACGTGTTAAGATAGCTTGGTGGTAAAAAAAAAAACAACCAAAACAACTGTCCATCTTGAGCACTGAAAGACTACTAATAACTACCAGGCAGAAGAGAACAAAGACCTAAAATATGGCCTAATACCTCAATTTAATATGAAATGTAAGTTATTCAGGTAGAGTTGAGAGAACAAGAGCCCAAACAGTTTCTTTGTGAGAACAACACACATAGATGTTGTAGAAGAGTTTGTAGTATTAAAACAAGGAGACACTACTGCTTTACCTGTCTCAATTGGAGGAACCTTGCTTTCAACAGCATTCGACACTGCTTTGCTCTCTCTAGCACAGGACAATTCACCATTTGTTGTTTGACAAGAACAGCAGCCTATTAAGTGTATACAGTAACAGGATAGTTAGCTTTCTTCACTACTATATTTTCCAAGTATAATAACATATTCTATACAGCTTTAACTATTATGCTCAAAAATAATCCAAAAGGAGAACGCAGACTTGATTATTCCAATTTGCTGAGAGGGTAAATGGGTTACACTACTAATATATAGAAATATTTAACATAGCACTACCACCATGGAAGCAACACAAGTACTTTTAACTAGAGGAAAAGCATATGGGAAGTGATCAAAAAGGCAACATACAAACAAGGAGGATTAGAAACATATTGAGTAGCAATGCTACGGGCACATAATTCATTCTCAGAGAGATGGTTTAGTGAGTAAACAATCTAAGATGCCTAGTGGACGGCATTTATTACATCCTTATCAAGATACCAATACTTACATAAAAACCATACACATGCTTTTTCTCCTGTCCACTTCCCTCACCCTTACAGTGATAACCATCAAACTTTCCTTAGAAATGTAAACCTAAATCCTTGGGCAGTTAATATTTGGATTTTCTTCTCTCTTAGTGCATACCTGAAGGTGTCAACAACTGTCCTTCCTAGGTCAGAATTAAATTTGGAACATTATTTTATTGTATCCTGAGTAATTTATTCTTTTAGAAATCTGCTTTCGCTACCTCTTTCTGCAGATGGCTGTGCAGAAGATCCTGGAGAAGGCTGTGCAGAAGATCCTGCAGAAGTCTGAGCCACAGTGGCTGAAACTCGATTCCCCTCACTCCCTTCCACTTCAACCTCCTCCACTTGGCTACGCGGTGAATATGGGTTCAGTACCTCATAGCTTGACTCTTGCCTATTTCTGTTCATGCACATAAGTGAGATACCTGACATCAAGATACTGATGAACAGGATCACTGCTGTGGTAATTATCTGTTAAGAAAGCAAAAAAAAAAAAATACACCTAAATACAAAATAAAGGAAAATAGTTGCATATATCCATCTTTCTGACATCTGTACTTTCCTAAATATACTAACAAATGCATCTGAATAGACAGTTTTCTATACTTACTGCTCTTGCATCTTGTAGCACTGAAAGTGCAATCATGAGGCTAATTAATTTTCCTTGCCTGAGAAACTCAGCACTTTTTTTTTATTTTTTAAGTGAGGACCTCTATTTCCCATGCAATCCAAAAACATCCCCTCCTCCTCCTCCGGATCATTAGTGCTCCAGCTTAAGTTCTGTTCAGGTACCTTTTAATTCCAAAGAGGAATGTGCTTTTGTCACTCTCTGACACAGCTCTAATTTCCATGCTTTCACCAATGGGGAGCATCCTATTAATTAACCTTTCCTTCTAATCATCTGTCATCGATACCCAGAGTCCACTCTGAGGCTACTTAATACTTGTGAAAGCCCCACATGAATAATCCCCAGAGACTCACAGCCTCTCTATCCATAAGAAAGACAGAGGGAAAACATGACAAATATCTATGCTAGTGCACTTTACATCCTCTGATAAGAGGAACTATTTATTGGTAAAAACAGTAGTTCAGGCTCAGGGACTTTCAACCCATGACTGTGCAGAGAAGTCTCCCACAGTGCAAGCAGTTAGTGCTACACAGGTAATGTAGATCCTATCTATTACAGACCAGAAGCCATTAATTAGCTATTGGATAGTAACAATTTTAGATAATTATCAAGCAAGACTACAAATTAGTCACAAGGAAAAGGGCTCTGCAATTCGTTACCATTCATAAGCTTTCCTTTTAGGAAACCTACTCCCTCTTTTTCTTAAGTCACAGTTGCCTAAAGGTGAAGGTCCTTGTTCAAACAAGTTTTCCCAATGATTCATTACAGAATTATATTTTTGTATCAATTTATAGGCATTCTATAATGATACTGTTGTTACAGTAGCCTAGACTTCAACTGAAAGCTACTTACAAAAGCAGCAAACAGAGAACACAACTTCTCAATAATGTTTTGGACATGGCAGAAGTCTGAAGCAATGAGGACAGAACATGTTCTTACCTGATGTTTTCCATAGAAAAAGGCAGAGTCAATACTAGATGTGTTATGTTCACCAACAATTAGTAAGATTCCCACCAGGAGTGTTGGGACTCTGAAAGTAAAATATGAACAAAGTAACATATTTAGCATATCCCACTAATTCTACAGCAAAACGTTTGAATTAACTTACCCCCATCCAGCTATGATAATAAACCCAATGGGAATCTTTACTGTTTCTCTCTTCCTCAACAGAAACAAAGAGAAAGATAGAAAACCTACAAAAAAAAAACAACACAAAAGAAACACGTTATTTATTATTAAAAAGGGAACTGATAATTATAGACTCTAAACAGTCTATGATGTGACCTGCCCTATAGCTCAGATACCCTTCTCAGACCTTTAAATAGTCCAAAATTATTTTTCTAGTTGTATTTTGAGAAAGTAAAATAGAAACACCTATTATCTTACAAAATCACTATTAGTAAGGAACCATTGATGAAATTCCAGAACACTTTATATTAAATACACACTTATAAATGCTTATGAGGGTTCACAAGTGTTTAAAAGATATCACAAGAACACTTAAGACACAAGTAACTGATTTATTAAGGTATCAACAGCAGTTGATCTAGACTGACAATAACATTGCATTCTGTTATGACACTTCTTTAAAAACTGACTAGTCCTTTATAAAGTCAAAGATAAATTTCACAAAAAAGTTTCACATATTTTTACCTATATAATTATATATGAGAGTATCTTCTGGGAATACCTATTCTATTCACAACTCAGCAGCTCAGCAACATTTCCCATGCAGAAGCAAAGCTAGTATTTATTTTAGGCTACACCTATCATTAGCTGCCTGTCTCAGCTAAGCTAAACACAACTTACTCCACAAAACCACAGGAATTAAACCCTTAAACTTCTGGACTCAAGAACAGTATATAAAGTCTCCTGAATACCCAAAGCCTCTCTCTTTTTTTTTTTTTTTATCATACATGTAAGGTTCTCCAAGTTTCTTGATGAATCTTTCAACTCTTGCCTACTTTAAGTAAACCCTTCATTAATCATCTACACCTGCAGAACACACACATTGTTTTTAGAAATTGCAATCACCAAGAGAAAGAAATGCTACTTTCATATTTTCCTTCGTTCTATATTTCCTACTTTTCTGAGGCACAAGGTTTTTAAATCTTCTTAATGCTGAATAATTTAAAATCTTAAATTCTACAATAATTAAAAACTGGCAATAAGCTTTTCACTCGCTGAAGGGCAACCCACCACATTCACTCTATTTATAATTATTTCTGCCTTGAGAGCATCTTCCTGTCTTTTGTTACACACTAGCAAGGCTGCTGCATCTAGCAAAGACAAACAAAACTTGCTCTAGGTATGAGCTTCCAACAGCAGCAGCAGTGCTGCTGGTGCTGCAGCTTGGCACAGCTCACAAGCGTGCACATCTGTAAGATCACACACAAGTGAAAGGAACGATTACTCTGCAGAACATAATCAAATTATTTCAGTACATCAAGCTTTTATTGCAGTACCTAGGTTCTGCCTAGAAAATCATACCTGTCCACAGATACGTGCTATAAAGTGAGCTGTAGAGGAATATAAATACTAGGATCTGCATGGTGACGTCTTTCTCTTTAACAATGAAATTCCATGCCACCATTCCAATGCAAGCAATAAACTGGAAAGAGAGGTAAGATGCCGTCATTTGAATTGCAAAAGCAGGATGACAAGAAAACTGAACACAGTGTAATATTGCTACAACAAACTTCCAGACTCCACCCCCAGACTGACTGGAGTGTATGAATTGGATAGTCCTCACAGCAGTGCAGCAGCTAAGCTCAGCATCATGCTTATGTCACTGACTAGGGTATCCTGTTCTCAGGGTGGGATTTTTTGACAGAAAATATATAACTCAGATAAACTGGGAGTAAGACAAGTCAGGAAAAAAATATATAATCTTAATCTTTGTATGTCCTATCATAAGTAAAATGTAAAGCTTTTGCTAAGGACAAACTATTTCTCTAAAATGATTTGGACATGAAGCTGAGGTCAATGGATGTTTGTTCAGCCAAGAATTACACAAGTTTTCACCTAGAGATACCTCATATATGACACTTTTAGTAGTGAAGGAATATGAAAAAATAGGCTGAAACTTTACGGAAACAGTAATACAATTGTTCAAAATTTAAGAAACAAAACCTAACTTTGCTGTTACAGACAAGAAGCACCTGCAACACTCAAACATGACTTTTTTCAAATGTGACTCCATGATCAGACTTCAGAGAGTTTACTATCTCTTCCCCACACACACTTTTTTTTTTGTTTTAAAAGCATAGAACACTTCAGAAAACACTACTGCACTGATGTATTACAAGCACAGGCTGCTCTCACTGAATTTAGCAGTAGTTGAACAGTTGACTTCAAGGGAGAAGGAACATGTACTCTATAGTTTTCTCTCAGTTTAAATTAGTTAAAATTAATCCAGAGCTATTTAGCTTTGCCCTTCCCTAGCCACCAGCCATGCATTTACACATCCCTCCCTTGCATCAGCACTGGCACCTGTCTGATCCCTCAGCAATCCACTTCAGGGAGCTAAACAAGGATGAAGATTTTCTATTTAGCTCCTCGAATCCGGTCACCTTCGAGTCAAACACACACTGCTCCTGATCCTGGCATTGCTGGCTTCAAATTGGCATAAATAGACATGGAAGTGCACTCAACACTATTAGGCAATAACTTACAGTGCTAAAAACATATTTCAGAAGCCATTCTCTGCTCTGATTGCTAATAGCTCTGCTTGAGAACTGTACTACCAGCATCAACTCTCATTTTCTTAAGAGTGTGTTTTAAGGCACGGAAATTGTTTAGACAAGTCACATATTAGATTCCCCTGCCCTTCTTAGATGACTACAAAGATATAACTATATAGCAACCAACCTTGTAAAATGTTAAAAATAAGACTTAAAAACCACCCTGACATCATTCTTCTCACTACTGACCTGAGCAACAAGTAGATTTGTTGTAATCATATGAGGAAGCTGTTTGTATTTCTTACTGAGAACAACAACGATAAGAGACCAGATCTGGAACACATAAGATAAAATGGAATTTAAGACTAAAACAAAAACCAGAAGAACAAGATGAGTATTCTGGCAGACTATGGTGAAATTAAATACACAACAAATCTTGACGAGTTTCTTAGCAACATGACTACTGTAGTCAGCTCCACACAATCTCCTGCCAGTCCCTATGCCTCAGAAAATAAGTCCAGAAAAAGCAATGCATCTTTGTGTTTTCATGATGGTGAAATATTTCCAGGGAGTACCAAAGGCTTGCCTCTGGTGCACAGAAGCCTGGTTATTCCTCAGGGCATAAGCAACCACAGAACAGCCTGGCAATGCAGACTTTAAACAGCTCTGCCCTGCTCCCCGCTCCCCCACCCCCCCATCCTTACTGAATCTCCCAAGATTATTTGTGACAGCAAGAGGCAGCGTTCACTTGTGGCTCCCCTTGAAGCACAGCTTCAAGACAACAGGACTTCAGTGAGACACCAACTTAAGAAAATTCCAACTTCCTCCAACATGGATGTTGTTATTTTAAAAAAGCAAACAAAAGAAACACACTCTCTGTAGCGCCTATAAAGCCAAAACACAATTGACATTGGACTTCTGGGATATCAACTCCCTTTTTAAGAACTAGGCACCCAGAACTTCCAGGGAAGGAATTTGATAAAGCAAAATTAAAACTTCCAAGTTAAACATTTTCGCTAATATTCATTAATGCTTCACTAAATAAATATTCACTGATGTTTCTGGAGCTGAAGTTTTCATATAGCCTTCATCATTGTGATATCCAAGCACCTTACATAGTTTGATGCAATTATTCCCTGTGAGGTAAGCTAGTATTGTTATTCCCCCCCCAACTCCAATATTTTTTAAAAAACAAAGAGGGACTATGGGCAAGTAGCTGACAGCTCATCCATACACACATTTCATGTATCAGGCAGCCAAATCCCAAACTCAAGCCCTTCACCAGTGCTCTAATTCACTTACTCATCTTCCTCTACAGTGCAGCTTTCCAGCTGGCCCATTGCTAAATCAAGAAGATTTTTATCATCTTCCTCATCCTTCTGCAACAGGATACAATGATGAAATGCGAGTCTCATCTTTCCATGACTCAGTTTTCTGCGTATGTACTAACACTACTCTGACATGACAGTGTGTTTTTGTATTTCACTTTGGTAACACCTACCAGAGAAACGAGGCTGACAATGCTTATGTCAAAGCTAACATTCTGGAGTGCAGATGCCAGCGGGTTGGGGTCCATAGATGGAATGGTCAACAGCCATGCAGAAACATACATAATAGGTGCAGACACAAAAGTGCTTATCACCATACCTGAGGTAATCTGCAAAAAGAGTCAAACAGAAACAAGAACAGAGTTAATCAGATCTCAAGCTAAATAATCTGCTTTCAGGAATACAACCACTGGCAAAATTGTACCTTTGACTTAAACATATATAGACCTTTAACAAATCACTGAGTTGTTTCTACAACAAATTATTTAGAATTCGAGCCAGAAAGTATCCATTTTATACATACAGTTAAACTTAAAATTTTAACAAGCTTCTGAAATAGTAGGAATATAGAGTTCCCTACTGCAAATTCCTACAGAGCTTTTTCATGGGTGTCAAATATAATAACGACTACAGTCTAGGGGTGGATTTATAATGTCTCGATTTACTTTTGGATGCAAAGATTCACACCGCAAATAAACAAGCAAACGTATAGTTACGCAAACACTAACATGCACCAATGCATGAGAAGAAACCACATACATTTACATTTAAGTGATTTCAATTTTGGCTTCTCATTGTCCTTCTGCTCTCTAAAATTTGCAGAGTGATTGAAGTGTGAGTTTTTACTCATACTACAGATATCTGTTTTAAAGAGATTTCCTCTGTTTGTCGGGCACAAAATTCTCTCTTTTAAGGTTTACTTTCAGTGTCTTTTTTTTTTCTGCTTTTCTTAAAAAAAACCTAAACAAACAAACCAAAACCAGATAATATTAAAAATAGTGGAAGTCAACAGAAATGTTTTAATGTCACTTGCAGCAGAAGAAAGGAAAGAGTTATAAAATTTGTATCTTAAGTTGAAAAGATAATTGATAACCTCTACTATATTAAAAAAAAAAGTTCAATGCATTTCTATTGCAAGATTTAACTGAAGGGCAACATAACAGAATCAGTTAAAGCACAAGTTCTTCCATAAGTTTTTAGTATTAAGTTTGCCCTGTTCTTACTAATTCAGTAATATAATTTTTGTTTTTTCCTACAAAAACAGTAACTCAAAGATAAGGTCTTTGGAAAACAAAACAAAACCAACAATCTCACAACAAAGATACAAGTTCTTCAAATATAAAGTTATCCTTGTTCTTCCTACTAGAGTCATAAATAAGAAAAGTATGAGGAGGACTCATTTATGAACGTGTACTATCAAGACACTCGAGACATCAGGAGAGGGTACTTTGCTTAATTAAGAATCTGAAGTATAATTTATATTTGAGATCTAGGGAAAACAAGTATATCTAAGGAGTCTATACTACAGAAAAGCAAATTCATGAAGCCTATTTATTTATTTAACTATTTCATCAACAAAGTTAAGCTCAAAGTTAGTATATATTTGGGAAAAGCTAACTACATACAATTCCTACTTCCATGTTAAATTGACTTGCAAATATTGCGACACCAGGTGCTGCAGGAAAAACTCCATAAAGAAATGCATAGTTTGATAAACTGGTGTGGTTGACTACGCTGTCACTCTTGTCCAAGAGTTCCACCATTTCTCTACACAGAAATGGCATCATAAGTCTGAAAAGAAAAAGAAAAACATAATTACAAAAATATTACTCAACTCTATAGCAATAGACTGTACTTTACGCATAAAATGAACCAAAAGAAAATTTAAGGCTTGTTTGAATACTATTCATGAAGAGCAAAACACTGACATCACTTTGGGTGATTGCCTTTACTTTTACCATGACATTCTACCAGCTGCTTAAAAATTTTGTATCACAAGTTAAACCAAAAAAACTCACATGCAAAAAAAAAGGTAAAAAATGGCAACAATCTCTGGGATATAAGCAGGTATCAGACACGTTCTTTGTATAAACCTCAGATTTAGAAAGGTAAAACATATTCAAAAACTCTCTCATTTTTCAATTGTTAAAGTAATAATAGCTATAAGCAGTCAGCAGCTTTGAAAGTTAGACCACCTTTATGTAACCTGTCTGAAATACAAGGGCTCAAGATTAACTACCCCATTCTGAAAGTTTTGGCCAGCAAAAAACCCTGCATCAAGGCTATTCTATTCGCCTTTAGCAACACTCCAGACCTCGTGCAGACTCGCTGTGCAAGCCTTACACAGGCTAGTTACATAAACTCATCAGTAAAGCAAAGTGGTAATATTAAAAAACATTTTTATCACATTCTTACAAAATTTGTCATTGAGCTGGTTTACAAACCAGGTCTTTAAGTCTGCTAGTTAGTTATACTGATATCCAAATGTATCTGCAAATTTTACAGCATAAATTTAACCACCAAACAATCGCTCTACTATGTTAATTGTAGCTCTGTAGCAAAAAAAACATTTAGTTTACCGGTAACTGAAATATATTCAAGGGAACATAATAATGGCATAAGTTCTAAATACAAATTGTAATTTATTCATACTTTAAAGTCAGACAGTTTAATAACAATTAAAGATAATTTCTAAGCTATTCTAAAATAGCAGTTTCAAACATTTACAGACAAAGCAACCAAAACCAACTAATTCAGAGATGTATTGTTTAATCCAAACAAAACACAAACACCAATTAAATAATATTTAAACTCACTCTTGTCTAACTATTTAAATAGTAAATTTTAATTTAATTTAGTAATTCCCCATACACCCAAATAAAAACAGGTGGCCTGTGGGCAGCGCATGAAGCCACAGCACCTCGATTTTTTTTTCTCTGCCAAGCCTGACAGCAGGTTTGTGGTGTGCAAAATTTCTTTTAATATTTAACAGTTGTGTACTATCAGAGTTTGGAAAGCACTCACCCAAACACTGCAAGTGAAACATACTATCACTATAATGACTTTGAGAGAAAAGCCATCTGACCAGCATATTCAGAGGTTAAAACATCTAGAGAACAAAATGACAGAAGTACATAAATTGAACTTACAGTTTAGCTGTGATGAGAAGGATCAGTGCAACAAACATACCCTTTGTCAGTTTTTTTGTTTGTCCCACCATAGTTAGTCCAAGGTAAAAAAGTGCGGAGCCAGAAAATGAACTGCCCAGTCCATCAAGGAAGTTTTCAAGGTATTCGGGAATTTTCTGGCCAAGAATAAAGTTTGAGGCAATTCCTATGAAGACCATGAATACAATTGGGTTCTGCAAAACTCGAAGGAGTGCTAGGCCCACTATTTTGATTTTGCTCTGTGACACAGTGCGATTATCCCTCCACTTCTGGATTTCACAGAAGATAAACCCAAGAGGGTTTAGCATCATAAGAGATATTGGAGCCACTAGGTAAATGTACTGGAGATATTCTGGGTAAGTGGTCTGATATAAAGCTTCAACTAGAAGACAGGAAATGAAAAGTGATGAGTGATAATGATTCAGTACAAAAAATCATTAATATTGAAATTAAGTTTTGTTGCCTGAAAACAAGAGAAAAACTATTTCATCATCCTTCAGAGGTAACTGCATTTACAATCGATATAAGAAAATGTAGTAAGAGAAGTACGCCCAATCACCATTGGGCCACAGTTGTCTAATGAACACATTAAAGGTCAAAGATTAATTATCCAACAGTATTTAACCATTCTATGAATATTCAACAGTATTTAACGATTCTATGAATATTCAACATTTACAGGAAAAAAGATATAACGCTCTCACATGTCCTTTGAGTCATCACAAACGTCGAAAAAAAAAATTAGGCTTTTGTTGAATTGCTTTTCCTCCCTAAAAACACAAGAGTCATGGAGAATTACGTGCACCTTTGCAGGACACAAGTTGCTTCTCATCTTAGGGGAGTCTCACATCTCTGGAATTTAACCAGTTTTCAGTGGGTAAGTCAGGTGTAATCTTTCTACACTGGTTCCACACAACGCAGCAAAGCAACAACCAAATAATTAGCACATAATTATTAGTTCATTTTCTGGTACTACTCAGGACAAGAGTTATCACCGCAGTCTGGTCCCTCAAGGAACCTTAAAGCACGAGCGTTTGTTCTCATTGTTACTACATACTTGTGAGCCAAGGGTGAACTGCTGCTTATTTCAAGTTTGTGCTAACAGCACTTCAAAAATCATGAAAAGACTCTGGAAATACATACAAGATTCTATCCTAGGGTGAATTTAAAAAACCAAACTCAACATTTTTAAAGTAGGATTTTATTTTCTTTTCATTGTAATACCGTACACTAAGGGCACTTGTAAAGCTGTCAGGTCTTGAATCCTGCAGAATGCAGATATTTCTGGTCTCTCTTTCACAATTTCATGACTTCATATTGAAAAATGGAAAAGGAGAAATTACGCATATGAAGCACTTCCTCACAAAAGCAGTAAAATAATGTTTAAATTGCCATCACTGCTTCAGGTTTGCATTTTAAATGCGTATAAACAAAGAGTTCAGTTGAAATCACTTTATTTTAAAACTCCTAGGTCTATGCTGTTGTATTTCCTATATATGTATTAAATGATGAATTAAATCTACCAAAATTGCTGGTTTTCTGGTTAACAATCCAGTGTTTATTTATGTAAGAATGCCATGTTAATTTTGCAGATTTCTTTGGAATGGTAACATTTATCTTAACCTGCCTTATAACACTATTATTTCCAATAATTTTCAGAAATATGCAAAGCATGCCTTTCGTTTTAGTTTTTACTATCCAAGTCAGAAAGATACACATTCTTCCCCAGGCAGAAGCATCTTAATATGCAAGTGAAATTATATTTGTACTACAAAGAATACTGAAAAAAAGGAACCACCATTGCATAAATACACCTATTAGACCTTTCCATGGGGTAACTTAGCACTCTTAAAGTACTAAATACAGTTTAAGATCACTAAGCAGCAATTACCTGTTGTAGATATTTCCATTTCCCTGTACACTAAATCTGTTCTTTTTCTGAAAAAGTTTTCCCTCATGACCATGTATTTCGAAATCCAAAAGATTTTTACCTTCATATTAGTTAAGTACCTGGAATGACAGGATCTACTAAGCGCTAAATCGGCATTTACTACAGACACCCTCCTCTTTAGATTGAATAAACTGACATTCTCAATTAGTTGATTTCCAATATATAAGAAAAAGCACTAAAGGTGCTTTTCTTCTTACAAGCCATGATTGAAGTGCATATACAAGAGCTACCTGTTCTAAAATCCAGAATAAATTGCTGAACAGAACTATCAAGTTTGTAGTTAGTTACTGCATTAAAAAAGCCAGTTTTAGTCACTAAATACATTCTGATAAGTAAAACCACTTTAAACATGCTGGATACTTCTTATGCAAGTCAACATTCTAAAACCCTAAAGCTTAGGGCAATGCTTTTATGCTGCTTCACACAGAACACCCATTTCAATCACATGTAAATGTAAATAATGTCTGAGTGAAAAATGTAATAAATCATTATTTTATGGCAAAATTAAACTGTATCTCTAATACAATATATTAAATTCTATAAGTAAAAGTAATTTAACTGATGTATGAAGTCACAATGCATTTTCCTGGGTAGCATAAAGTAGAACCAATGTAGATTGCTGAGCCAGAGGGGAAAAAAAACCACAAGAAATCAGTCTTGATTGAGACAGTCTTGAATAAGACAGTGAAATAATCCACAACTATCTCTGATTAAAAACTTTCTTTTTATTTAAATCAAGGTGCCTGCTTGCTGATCATAACAAAAAAAAAAAAGAAATTAAAGATATTTAAATATTTTTTTTTAAAAAAAAAAAAAATTTCTATACCCCAGCTGCTCAAAATATCATATAAATCACATACTATGTTCATGCTTAATACAGTTAGCACCACTAAAGTCATGGTAACTGAGCCATCATCCATACACTTCTGCTACACCTGTGCTTTAACAATACAGCACTAAAGAGCAGATGAAGCTGTTCTGTCGGGGCTATATCATCTCACCTAGTAATAAAAAAAAAACACAAACCAACAGACAAAGCTTTCTATTCTAGTAATTCTATCTATATTGGGGGAGTCTGCTAGCCAAACGCTGCACCAGTTGCTTTTCACTCTGAACCAACATCAGTTTGTAGTGTAGAACTGTCATAACAGTGGTTAGAGAAAAACAGAGTGGTGATCTCAGAAAATTTAATCTGTATTTTAATTTTCCTATGTGCAAATCTTTGCTATTTTCTGCTGTCGAGCATAGTGGTTATTAAAAGAAAAAAAATACATGGAATAAAAACTCAGGACATTACTTATCTATTTCAGAGTTCAAAGTGCCTTTTTAAATAGTGTTATTACAATACACAGACTTGTCAATACTGTTGTGTTTTTTTTTCCTTTACACATTCCAACTGAAGCGGCCTTTAAAAATATATTTCCATTAAAAGACTGGGTTTTGCTCAAAACACTACCTCTCATCATACATAAAAATGTAAGCAAGGCATTCTTTGTTGCCTAGTCCTGCAAACACTTCAGAGAAGCAACTACCAGTAAAAAGTTTGCACACCTGATCACATGAACTAAACACTGGTGAAAGTTTGGGATGGGAGAACAGAAAGGACAGGAAAGGAAACAAACAGCTCTACGAAATTGACAACCCTCAAGTGCCTACAGTGTTACTGTTGCATTAAGTATTCCAGTATAGCTCTTCATGAACTAAATGTTGTGAATTTGGCAAGACTGTACATAGAAGAAACATGAATAACATTTTATAAATCACGAAATTATTGTTAGATTGCATTTTTCTTCAAGCAAGTCATTTAAGGTAGAAGGAATGTTTGAACTAGAAGGATACAGTGGAAACATGTTCAGACAACCTCAAAATAGACAAGGAGAGAAACCGTGATTGGCATTGTAATCCAGTACCAAGAAACAAAGACTTAATCCTCACAGCCTTATTGGTGATACACTTCGGATTTCTCTCAAGAGGAATAAATATCAGGAGACGCAACTGAGGGAAACAAGGTATTTTTCATCCAGGAAAGAAAAATTTGCAATTGCATTTGTCTGTGTTTTATACATATCCAGCAAATTTGAAGAGAGTAAGAAAGATTCAAGACTGTCCTGAGCACGCTGGCCTGGCATAGGGAGAATAAAACCGCCAGCTCCTCAGATGATCTAAAATATGGAGCGCTACTTGTTGTTATGCATAACCTGGAACTGCATGTTTAAGCTTCTATTTTTTTAACTGCATTTTCAATTCAGTAATCAAATATCCTGCATTTTGCTTTGCTAGAACAAACTTGCTTTCTTTTCTTTGTTCTTAACGTTGCCTGGATGATAAGAGTGATCTCAAGATCTATAACTACACAAGTTATACTCTGAATGCCTCTTTGGTTTTTGTTTGTTTTGGTTTTTAGCTCAGCTGGACTAGTGGTTAGTTACACATCCCAAGAATGGCACCACAGTCACATAAAACCCTGATTTGAGATACACAAATGCAAGTTACCACAAAACACCCAGCAATCTTGCTTTTAAAAGACAGACTTCTTCCAAGACTATATCCTAATGCATGTCTACTGGCCACAATAGAATAAAGATTAAGCGATAAAACATGATTTGCTACATAAATTAAGTAGTGCAAAATTTGTAAGTTTCTTCTGAACAGATTTAAAGTTTGTCACACACAGTCCACAACAAGTAGGCACCAACATTGTGGCTAGATGTTTTCTCTGAGCTAAACCAAGAGGGAATGCCAAATTAGTAAAAAACCCACTATAGCTATTTCAGAGGCCACAGGTACAGGCTCATACTTTGCAAAGCAAGAAATTTTGGTCTTGAGGGAAACTCTGGCAATTTTCCTGTAAGTGCAGTCTTAACCCGTAGTAAATGTAAGGTAATTTATACCAATTCTGAAATTGTATTTTAAATACTTTTTTTCTTCATCTGATTTACTTTAACATGACAAGATCACATAAACAATAGTAGTTGGATTGTTTCGAATTCTGTCTCATTCATACCAGCTGACAGTTTTCTTCCTTTACATGGTCTGAGGTCAAGAAAAACATGACTTGAGAAATGGCTTTAGATAGCTCACAACTTCAGTTCAAAAGTCAATTTCAAATTATGGAAAAATAAAAGTAAACTTTTCCAGAACACTGAAAAATAGTTTTAAAGAAGAAAGAATAAAGCATAACTACTTACCTATTGGATATCCCAGTGCAAAGTCATTGCTCTGTGTAGCAAAAATAGGGAACAAACCTGCTTTGCTAAATCTATTCTCAGGACTGGCTACCAACAATGTTAAAATGCAGACTAAGAAAAACACAGCAGCTTTGGCAACTAATATACTGTACAGGAAGGACCAGTTCACATTAGAAAAGTTAAGTACCACCATGTTTTTGAATAGTAGAGCTGGGAGTGCAAAACGGGACACAAAATTTCCCAGTCCTTTGGCCTGAGTTGTCGTGATAATGTTGGCTCTTCCAGCTATGTAGCCACAAAGAATTATTCCAAAGCATTCTAACAGAGCTGGAAAAAGTCTGCTTATTGACATAGAAGGAGCACCGCTGGTGGTGTTGAGTCCAACTTGTCCAGGCAAAGAAACAGACATATTAGCTGAAGATGAGAGGTTCTCTATATTGAAGTCTGCATAGTTATCCATTTCCTTTGACCACTTCTTCCAACAAAAAAGCTTGAAATAATCTCATCTGTGAAAGAAACAATAGTTATTTATTAACTTCCAAAACTGTGTGCATGAATACTTATGGTCTCAGGCTTGCTGCCAGAAGAGTTCACGCTTACAAACGCATTACAGATAAATAACGAGACAACTGGTAAGTAGGTACAGAGCAACAACTCTGAGAAAGAAGAATGCTGAAAAAATCATTCCATACACACATCATCTTTACACATATTCTTCTCAGAATTCCACACATATCAACAAGACAATTGATAGAGGCTAAAAATTCCCAAAGAAATTTGAGGGTAAAATGGAAATATTAAAACTAAATGTAGATTAGGCATTCAGAAAGCAAAAAATCTGCTGGAAGGAAAGAAGATATAAGAAGGAATTTTTTTTTGTTATTATTCCAGGATCTAAACATCACTTAGAATAAATTACAGCCCTTCAGCACTTTCCAGTCATTGTTTCAGAAAACAGTAATTGCTAAATTGTCAGTGTATGCTCCTTGCTTTCCTGGACTACCATTACAAGCCCAGTTAACAGAAAAGCACAAGACTCTACATACTCATTAGCAGCTTGCAACCTTTCTTACCTCCTCAGAGCACTGTCAATTCCCAACTACAATTCTCTCATATTCAACTACCAAATTGTTAGGTTTTTTTCTCTAACTCCTTTTGTTTGCCTCAGGACATCTTATCTCAGGTCCTCCCTAAACCATGTCCTATTTGGTTCTTTTTCCCTCACATAAAAATACACATTAAACTCCCAATATTAAAATCCCATCCTTGACCTCCCTTTCACTACTGCTGTTCACCTCTGCTTCCATGCGCTCAGCTTTACGCATGGTCGGGATTCCTCCTTCACCTCCATCTTTAGATCCTATTTAATCCAAGCTCTGTCCCTGAAACAGCTCTTGCCAAAATCCTGAGCAGCCAAAATCTTCTTAAGCTCTCAGAACTCACATTCCATTTTCATCCTTCATGAACATCATACACCTTTATCACAATCATCCTCTTAATTTTTGCCCTTCTCATGCCTTTCGTAATTACAGCTCCTCCTAATTCTCCTCCCATCTCTACTCGTTCCTGTAACATTTACATGGGAGGATCCTCCTAAATTTCTGTGGGTGCTGACAGCCCTCCTTCCTTGTTCCTCTTTGGTCTCCATACATCCTCTGCCTGTGTATTTTTATAAGCACTTATTAAATTATAAATAGATGAATCTTGGATCTCTTTCTAATCCAGAGCTACCTTCTTCTGTTAAAACTATCATTTCAGCCTGTCTCCAGGATCTCTTTTGTGAATATCCTGCTGTCAATTCAAGTCCAATAAGCCTGGAACTGTTCTCCTCCTGTTCTCCCAAAAAGATGCTCCCTTAGTTACTCTGTGCCGTGTACCTGTTTTGCTAGAGGTGAGTAACAAAGGTTACAGAATCCTCCAATTTGGGAGAAATGCAAACTTACTGAACTCAACTTCATCTATAACTCTGTTGTAAGGAAAATCTCCACAGTCTATCAGTATCAGTTATTTTTTTGTACATCCTTCTACAGACTCATTCTCCACACATCAAAACTCCCTTGCTTTCATATTCTTTTACAGTCTTTGCAACTTACGCCCTCTTAATCTATCATAGAATAACAAACAGAACAGCCCTTACAAGAACACAAGCATCAGGTAAGGAAGATAAGTTTGACCAAGAATTGTAGCTTCTTCACCCCGGCACAAAAACATTTGGCAAGGCCCTCTCTACCTTTGACAAAGATTTACAGATCAAATCATCATATCACCCTTCACGCTTGTACCTTGCTTTGTGCGACTTCGACCTCTCCCAATGATTCAGTACCATATGCTAATGATACGCTTTCCAGTTAGAAAGGGATCCACACGTGACAGTGGCCAACAATCCAATTCATCACACTTATCCATATTCCTACATACAATTCTTTAGTGCAATTTAAGTATGCATTAAATTAAGTATTTATGTACAACAGATAAGTCTTTTGACTCCTGATCTTCGCTTGTTAACAGTGATACCCTTTGAAAGGGCTGACTATAACACAGCAGGTTTCACGATGAGCCGTGTAAAGTCTGCCAATCTGGTGAAGAGAGGGCGTCAAACACCACTATTCAGGGGTCAAAAGCAAGGTCTTGCCAGAAACACTTATGGGTTTGGTGATACAGCTCTGAAACACGTGCAGTCCATCAGCTAACTCTCTTAAAATAATATGATATGACTAAATCCTAAAGTACTCTGGAAAGGAAGTCAAGATAATTCACTCCATTTCGTAGAGACAGAAACTAAGGCAAAAGCGGACTGATTTGCTGTAAGCCATTTAACATATCAGAGGCAAAGCTGAGGTTCCCAATTCCCAAACCAGCGCTTTGTACAGCACAATGGCTAGATCTCAGCGAATTAACGACTGGTTTAAGAGTCTTCCCAGCCTCGCCATCACCTGTCCTCAGGGAGCAGAGAACTCATAACAGACAGGTAAAGAAACAAGTGCAGCAACTCAGAGCAAAGGTGAGATCTTGTATGCTCTGTTTCACACCCCGGCACCCAGCATACACTTACTCATACGTAGCATGAACTCCTTGACTCGTGACTTTTATTTATGCCCAAGGCTTTTAGTACGCAGTCCTACAATGCAGGTGTAATTTATCTGGACCGAGCAGCTGCATCACCCAAATCTGTCTAGTAGCCTTGGCCACCTCTTCTCCCAAGGAAAATGAGTCTCCAAGTAGGGCTTATTTTAAAGGTTGTATTTTTCTTATGTTACAGATAATACATTCGCCTAGATGTATTTGGACCAGAAGCTCAAAGCATCATCTACTGTAGAACAATGGAAAAAACTTACAATAAATAAAGCAGTCAACAAACCATTTCTCCTACTAGTAAAACTTAAGGAAGTGATTGGGATTTGCAAAATATCCAGAAGAAGATAAGAGGCAGATTTCCAATATCAAGTTCTTGAAAGAAGCCAGCCACATTCTACACCAGCTGCAAGGTGAAAAGCAGGTTTTTGGCACAGCCCCACCTAAAATTCTTCAAGGTTGCAGCACTGCACAGAGGTAAGACTCCCAGCAATGAACACGTTCAACCTATTCCCTGCTCTGCTGAGGTATTTTTTCAGCAATAAAGACAAATATGAAGCTCTTTCAACCAAACACAACAGTTGATCTATAGCAGAAGTGTATTTTGGCTGTACCTACCCCTAAATTTTGCCACTCCTTCTCATCCCCTGTGCCTTCCTATCCAAAGCTGTATCTTTTACCACTGTGTCAATACTAATAACAAAATTTATTTTCTGATATTTTTACTCACAAAAGCACCAGTCTACATACATTTACACAGTGGGAAGGACTTTTACCACTATAACATCTTTTCTTTCTCTCTTGAAAAGTGGTTTCAGCTATCCAGGTGTTTTGCTTGCACAGACTAAGCCTTCACAGGCTAGTCTATCAATACAGCTACACAAGTCCCTACTTCTAAACAAACATTGTGTCCAAATTAAACATCTCTCTTCCCTCTGTATTAAAATTATTATTTCTCCTCATAAAAATTGCTACAAAATATAGAAGCGGCCTTGTCTCCATTTTATAATTCAGGACTTAAATAAATATGCAGAAGACTGACTCTCCAGCTGTATCAGTCAGGAGCACTTGCTAAATTCTTTATCCTCCTCGCTAGATCAAAATGAACATGAATATACAACCACACAGCCTACAATCATCTTTTGTAAAGTGCCACAAATATTCCTGTAGCCTTGTAAAGTCAGTCAGGCCCAATTTTTGGTGAACCACATGAGTTTCAAAGAGAGAAACTGCATCACAGTAAAGCTGCTACAGGCACTGAGGGCTTTGAGCATGAATCATCTCTTCAGCTCCAGAGATGCGCACATCCTAAAACATTCACATTTAACACAGACTATCTACTGCAGAGCTGTGAGGTTTTTTCCAGAAATGCAAGCTCTTGCACAGCGTGCTGCTTAACACAGTGAACACATCTCCTGGATCCTTTTGCTCTACAGGATACATGCATTTACACAGCTGTTGTGACATTATGTAATGACTAATTGTAGATTTAGCATACAGCCTTATCACATCCGGGGCTTAACTCAAACTACCACCTCACATGAGCAAAAATGTTTTCAATTCACAGCTCTCAATGAAATCAAAGACATTGATCTGAGGCAAAACCAAACCTTATATATTCTACACAGAAACTAATCTGTTCTCACAGTAGATGTAACAAATTAACTAGTCAAATGACACTAGAATAAGGAAACAGAACACAATGCCAAAGGAAAGCACTTAGCTTTGACTGCATAGGACATATGATTTGTAGTTGCCCCTTCAGGGACCGAGGATTGAGATTTGAATCCTCAAAAACTCAGCCACAGCTGCATTGTTGGGAACTGCAAGCCAATGAAGACAAAGCTTTTAGGAATAATGCTGCCTTATCTGCTGTCAACTCTGTCAAGAGTAGCTGCTTGCAGCCAGACCGTCAGCTTGCTTTCGTATGGAAGGATAGTGCAGCCAGCATGAGAGGAAGCCTGGTATGAAGAACAATAGACAGAAAGCAAAAAACAAGTGTAGTTTACAATTCCCTTGAAACAAACTGGAGCACTGATACTTGCCCACTTCTCTCATAGGTTGTCAGTGTTTGTAAAGCGTTACAATTTACCAGACCAGAAACTCAATTCTCCAGCAGCTGTGAGTTAAGCAACATCAAAGTTCCTCTCCAAGTACCAAAACAGAAAAGTTGCCTCTTTTTCCAGAAGGAAAGTCCCCTTCATCTTCTTTTTTAATGAAAGTCAAAGACAGTATGAGAGAATAGAAGAAATACCTCAATGTACATCATCTCTGTTTTCTCATTCTCAAGCTTTCAGCTGATGTTCACTCTCAGGATAATTCTGGTGACACGGGCAAGGCTGTGCACATTGTTCATAAATTATATCCCACAATGTGACCTCATTTCCT